AGGACGGTGTGTGTGGGATTGACTCAAAATCCAGTACACTACAGTATGTTCTGTTAAAATGAAATAAAAAGAGTGAAGTGAGTTGAATAAGAGCACATAAAAGAATCCGAATGCAAGAAAACTAATTTTACTCCAGCGCTGTCACTCACATCGCCACATCAAACCTGCGCGAGAAAGCGTCCGACACTCTGTGAAGATGTCGTTCTCGAACACTTGAACACACCAAACACCCAGAACGCAGTGGGCTTGGTGAGCTGTGAGCGATCCATTCAGTCGTTTAAGCACGATGTCCGCATGTCTCAGGGGATCAGGTTCAAGGAAGTCCCCCCCAAAAAAATCACTGTAAAGCACATCAGACAAACATTCCTCCATGTCTTCTTCTCCTGTCTCCTACTTCACAGCTTTCAATGAAAATAGAGACAGAACCTTCTTAATGGCATGCATATATTGTGCAAAATTTTTTTTTGAAGTGTTGGGATTCACTTTAAAGGTAGCAGCTGACAGGTAAATGCTTTTGTTATCAGATTCTTTTGAACCAAACCTGCCGCCCTCTGTGACAGCTCGCACACATTTGGGAGTTATGGCAAAGTGAATTACTGTACAACATGCTTTTCCTGCTTGTGTTCGCCTGCTGTGCGCTCGCGTGTGTGTGTGTGTGTGTGTGTTCCTAACATCCTCTTATGCGCGTGTTCGAGCAAGGGAGACCTCTGCCATTGTTGGGCTTTTACATCCTGACAACTGGGAGCCTGATGGGTTAAAAATAACCCAGAGCTTTCCAATTTTGTCATCTTTTGGGACTGCTTCTCTCGTCTGTTTTGATTTTTTTGCGTGCGTCCCCCCCCGGAATGCTAAGGGTCACCGACGGCCACTTCCTGTCACATGGTTACTCATTGTAGTGCTGGCAAATGTCCCAAAACATACTCAAACATATTCAAAAATAGGACGGCAGGGAAGGAAAGGCTCGTGCTGTCACATTTCTAAAGCGCACACTAGGTAGCCCAGCTTAAACACTGTCAGTGAATGACAGCATTACTGTTTTTGTTTTATCTTCAAATGATCTTTTTCTTCCTCTGAGCTTCAGAAGATGAGTTTCATGAAGGGTTCTACACACGTGCAGAACAGAATTAGGCCACCGCTATAGAAAGAAATGACATACAACAAAAAGATCAACATCCTAGAAAGTTGTTTATAAAAGTATGCTGCTATCAGTTCTGATGTCTCTGCAAAACAAAAGACTTAAAGTTAAACAGAGATTCACAATAGGATACGTGTGTGTGTGTGTGTGTGTGTGTGTGTCTCTGTGTATGTAAAACACAAGGAAAGCATGTGAGTTTTGTGCCTGTTTAAATAACCAAACAGCCGAATAGATATGTATGCTATGCAAACAACAGGCTATGTAAACTGCGCTGGCGAGCTAAGCAAATGCATTATGCAACATGTTCTGGAGCATCGGATGCTTTTTGACTGCAGACAGACGGACTCTGCTGAAATAAGGCTGATCTTACATAGCCTTATTGTGTGGATAATCTTTCCTGTCACTGATGGATACACATTTTAATCTAGAGTGACTACCGCAAAGCAATGTTGTGCCTGTTGACAGGGTTTTTTTTTGGGTTGTTTTGTTTAAGGCCGCACAATTAATCGAAATGTTATCAAAATCGCAATATGCAAATCGCATAAGCACTATGTAAATAGAAGAGGCTGCAATTTTTCAATAGTACTTGATAATATCAGATCCACAGCCACTGTGCCAGTACTGCGGTGCTGTCGAGATGCACAGATGCCCCGGCCCAAGCTTCCACACCGCACCTGATAGAGGTCAAACAGGCCGGTTCCTCATTGGTGCACACTATGTTGTCATGTCAGGAAGTAGCTGCTGATATTCTAATTGCAGCAGCTTAGTCAAAACACAAGTTAAACATTTTGTTCAGCGCCACCCACATCATCATGTTAACAGGTGGAGATTTTAAAGGCTCTCCGGTTCCACTGGCTCCAGCCAACCTGCTCTATCTGTTTACACTAAAAGCAAATGATCAGTGTTATCCAACCTCCGGTACTGTAGCTCCGTGAGGCTCGGTCCAGCTGAGAGCCCTTTGCTGATGCTGGTTTTCTCCGGTCAACGTGGACATCCTCCCCAGCGTCCTCTCATCCAAACTTAGCCCGGGCACACGTCCAATCAAACGTCTCCTTTTGCTTCTGCTGCGGTTTGCCAAGTGGCAACTCTATAACTAACGTGTCAAGTCTCGTTTCAGTAAGCAGATCCTACATCAAAAAGACACAGAAAATGCCACATGGTCGCCTATACGCTATACTGTACAGGCTTATGGACACGCATTCTTTCTTTTACATACATTCAAAATAGATGAGACTTATTTGCAACCTTGTGAACGTACTTTATGATGTGCTTTTTGAGTCTGATACTTTCGGATATTTGCGTATTTGCAGAGACTTACATGAGAAGATTGATATCACACTTGTGTCTTTGTGTTGTATGGAGCTAAAAGCAGGGGGCATTTAACCTAGCTTAGCATAAAGACTGGAAACAGGGGTAAACAGCTAGCCTTTTGTATGGGATCACCAAACGAGATATAATGCGTTAATTATCGAGCAGTGCTGTTTTTCGGACGGAGCAAGCCTAGCTGTAGCCTCTCGTTTCCAGTGTCTATGCTAAGCTAACTGGCTACTGGCTGCAGCTTCATAGTAATTCCGTACAGACATGAGAATGGTACCAATCTACTCATCTAACTCTCAGCAAGAAAGTGAGCACGAGTGTACGGCATGAGATTATTTGTACATTTTGTACTGTTTCATCCTTTTTGAGCATTCAGAAAATGTTTATAAGTGACTTTTTTTTTGTTTTGTGCATCCAAAATCAATATTTTTAGTGATTAGTGAAGTGGACATTTCATAGATCACTATTTTCTTATTATCTCATGTTTGTATTTTTGACTTTTCTGCTTTTTTGTCCAGATAGCCTCTCAGATATACTACTTATTGCCAGCAGCAACTAAGAGCTGTCTACTTGTTGTTTGGGTGTTGTTGTGTCTCCCTTGGCTGCTGGGTGTCTTTTTGTTGTGGCCTGAAACTGCCAGACAGGGAGCGTCATTATTTGTTGGGCTTGGACAGGTTTTTGGCACTACTAGGATTGACATGAATGGTTGATGTCATTTTGTGTCCAGCTTATGGAGTGATTGTGACTTCGATCTTCTTAAAACGCGGGTTTGAGCTTCTACGCGTCTGTGTGTATGTGTGCGTTTGTGCACGAGCCACTGTTTCTGCGGTTGCGCGTGTGTTTTGTGGCTCCGCTGAGACAGTTTGGCACCCGGCCAGCTCAAACTGTCCGTCGCTTGGAAGGCTGGAAGTAATGGGCTCATTTCCCCAGTGGGACGGGAGGGGGACTGAATAAAAACAAGCGGGGGATGCCTGGGGACGCTGCGGGAATGACAACAGCACACGAGAGAGTCCGGCAGGAACACTGGGTGCTCCAAAACCCATTTCATAACTCGTCCTTATTCCAAATAACACAAGGAAGTGTGGAACATTTTAATAAATGCCTTGAGGTCAGGTGTGGTCAGCCCCTTGGAGGCCCGTAAGAGGTGCACAGAGGAGGGAAAATGAAAACAAATGTTACGTTAGGGACACCAGCATCTTAACATTCTGTGTCTCTAATCCACGGCTAGTGACTACCATCCTAAGTATGTTTTTATCACCTCTTTGCAATCTTGCAAAACCAGAAAGTTGTATGTGCTGCTGCTGTTTCGCAAGCAGTCAGCCACCAAAGACACCTGGCATTTAGATTTGTTTGTGTTGAATGGATGCCAGTAGGGTTGCCACGAAGGATTATTTTCATTGTTGATCATCTGCAGTTTATATTCTCAAATAATGGATTCATCGTTTGGTCTGAGAAACACCAGAAAACAGAATCTTTTTATTATAATGTAAGACAATAAAAAAAAGATAAAATTTGCTGCTGGAAAAAATGACTTATCAAAAAAGCAGCTGTTAAATCGTGTAATTGTTGCAGCTCTGTGTGCCAAAAAAAGACAAAGACACGTTTTGTTAAAAAAAAGTAAAAATTTCCTTGAGTCATTAAATATTGCGCCACAAAACATGGACCAACTTAGCAGACTGGTTTATTTTACTACAGGAGAGGTGTTTGCTCTTTGTGACAGCTGTGTTTGCATTCCATTTTGCAGCACGTTTCATGTCCGTTGTGCCAAATATGCAGTTTATAATGAATGTCGTGCCAGCAGTTCCTTGGAAGTAATGGTTTTTTGAATTAGCATCTGTGGTACAAACTCTACCAATGCAAGCTTCACATACAAGTGCATTTAATTGTGCACAGTGAAGTCGAGCTCGGCTCTCAATTCGATTAGTCGTAAAAACAGCTGATGGCTCAGCTGATTCCCTTCAAGCATCCAATTGGCAAATGTCATTCAGGACGCCTTATTCAAGTTGCTTTAGCACATCTACTCTTGCCGCTACCTATAACATTCTGCATTTGGAAATTGAAGTTTTCTTTTGACAGAAGATGTCCTGGCTGAACCGTTCTAACTAAAAAGTGACACAAAAATAAAAGAAGTACGCTAACTGCTAATCTGTTTTGCTCCACGCGCAGTAGCAGCACACATCATCATTCCGTAAACCTCCTCCGGCTACTTGTTAACCTCCTGATTTTTGTTTTTTGTCCCCCGTTAGACCCCTGTCTCATAGTGATGCCGCCATGCATGGGCGAGGCCGACCGCTTCAGTCTGGAGGCGCTGCGGCACATCCACAAACAGCTGGACGACGACAACGACGGGGGGATAGAGGTCAACGAGAGTGTGGAGGTGAGCTTTGTGAATGTCGCAGTTTTTGGGTGTAAAGGAGGACGCTCAGCTTTCAGGACTAATGACATTGCACATGGGCTGTAAACAACAGGTAATGCAAAACCAATTTTCAACCCGGGGTACCTCCTGACGGGCCATTAGATGATTAAAGGGATAAGAAAGAAAGAGAATATTTCTGTGAAGTATCTTTTTATTGACTTTTATATACATTTAGCCATTTTCTTGTGAAGTACTGAGTTATTTGACCTCTTAAGGCCTCTAAAAATCTGTGCAAATGTAATAATTTAGCTCTTTATCTTTGAAGACAAACAGGAGCAAAATCTTTATGTTTGAGTTTGAAAACCCTTTCTGAAATTGATTGGTTCTCATGCTCCGGTTTTCCTATTGTGGATATTTGACCACTATTTCTTCCCTCTGATGTTATCACCTCAGCAAATATCCAATATATTGTAGATCATTAGGTTAACTAAACCAAACCACTTGTAAAACGCTTCGAGTGTTGACACAAGAATACTCGTCTGTCAGCTCTGAAAGTGGATCGCCAGATAAAGGTAAATATTTACTTCACAAAGCTAACAGTGAGTCACGGGTTGTGGCAGGGGGTCAGGTCGTGTAGCTATCCTAAAAGTCAAATCATTTTTTAGATGAAGCCGTTACCGATCGGAGGCGAGAGCCAAGATGGCGGGGGCAATTTTAACATAGAGACACACCATCGGTGGCATTTTTACAGACGTTTTACTGTCATTAAAAACTGTTGAAATTGTAGTTTTATTTGGATTTTAGTTTCTATGCACGCATGCACAAATATATATGAACAACAATCCTGCCCTTTGAACTGCTGAACGAATATATGACATTAGTTGAAATGAAGTCAAACTGAACCGCTAACAGACCTGTAAAGTTGTCGTACAATCTGCTTGAAGAATGCTTGTAGTGACAGAGGTAGTGTGTGTGTGTGTGT